ATGGATTTCCTAACTTCCAACACTGGGACAAACAGATTTATATTGCTTATAGGTTAACCAGTCTATAAAATTTTGTTATAGTAGCCCAAATTAAGACACATGCCTATTATCCCCCTCTTCTATAGTAGTGCTATAATGTCATTCTGAGTTCTGTGAAATACATTGCTCTGTGTGAGGAAAGCACATAGAGGATGGGAGGGAGGACCCCACCTCTCCCCTCTCCTGGACAGTTTTGAAGGGATCTCAGGATCTTTCTCCTTTGCTATCCTTGTATGACTTTAACCAGCAACATTTCTTCCTCTTTTGCTCCTGCAACTATTTTCCAGTTGAGGTATCTCTGAGGATACAAGACGGATCAGCAACAGAAGCAGTTATTAGGACTCCAGTTCCAGGAAGAGAAAAGAGGGTCATCAGGATCCACACTGACCTTTATTTCTGTATTCCTGTATATAACCATATTCCAGCTGGGTCTGTCACTGTCAGCTTCCAATAGATATAATCAATGACTTAGGCAATAATTTCAGGGCACTTGGAAAGACCTCTTCCAAAGAGATATTCACTTTCTAAAATGATCTTCCCTAACCTATTGTGTTGAGTTTTGCTGTATTAATGTGAAAACATCAGCTGTAGGTGATGGGGAAGCATTAAGTTGGTGCTCAAGGTAATGACTTCAGAGCAAGATAGTGACCACAGTTCTTACATCTGTATCAGCGGGCTAGAGCAAGGGATTTGGAAGATGACGGGGGAGGGGGAACATATTTAGAACACACATAGAAGGCAAAGCAAGGTGGGAGACCAAGGTGATGATGTAGGGAATGAGAAAAAAGGTTCCAATGAAAGGAAACAGAAAGAAATAAAGGATAATGTGAAGAAACAAAGCCAAACAAAGCCTGCTTTACCCAGGAGCAGTCTTAACTATTTCCACCTAAAGAAAAAACAAGCACCTAGCACTATCTATGAGGCAGGCATCAATTTAAGTGTTTTGTGTCCTCAAAGCAATTTCTAGGTTGGTAAGCATTGTTATTATCCCCTTAAAAGAAGCTGAGCATCACTTGCCCACGGTCATAGAGATAATAGTGGCAGAGCTGGGACTTGAACCTGGGAAGTCTCATTCTGGAGACTATTCTCTTAACCACTAAATTATATTCCTCCTCAAGTTAATAGAATTGAAACTAACAAACGCTTTGAGGGGAACTTGGTACAAATCATTCTAGAAGTTGGAAAGATACCATCTTCACTCTTGCTCAAGGAATTTACTATAAATGAAGACCAGCCAGCCAGTGCTGCAAGGGACTTTGAGACAACATAGTGGTCAAGGCAGGGAGGTAGCAGCCATGAAATTGATTCGGGTTGGGAATCAGACTCCTGTCCTGGATGAGCAAATACAAGAAAGACCAAGGGCTTTCAGGGATGGGGGTGAGAACCTTGGGACAGGATGAGTTACTGAAATTGACATTTAGAGCAAGGCTAAAGATGGAACATATTGCATCCTCTAGGAATTATTTCTTCCCATGTATTACAACTCCCTCATAACCAAAGGATACTAGACATTTGCGTGTATGAGTCAAGACTACTTCGGTTTTAAGTGACAGAAACTCAACTCAAGTCAGTTTAAGAAGGAATAAAATAAGGCACCAAGGCTTATATTCAGCTAAAGTTGTTTCTGGGTATTTAAACATTATCTCATTTTCTCTTTAAATACCAGAGTAATTGTGTCATGTCTTGAGAATTTTCTCATAAGCTATACAGCCACAAGGTAGTTAGACAGTCCTTAGTACCTATACATAACATGTAAGATTCATGCATGCGTGCGTGTGTTCGTACGTGTGTGTGTGTGTGTGTGTGTGTGTGTGTGTGTGTGTGTGTGTGTGTGTGGGTGTGTGTGTGTA